TAAAGATTGTGGAGGGCTTCTGAAATAAGTTTTATAAATAGACAAGAAGTCAAAGACAGACAATAGAAGAATTGGCAGAGTATAATTTTAAGATATAAATTCTATATGTAGTCATATTTTTACCACAATAAACATTTCACGTTTTATCCCACCAATCAGACTGATCATATGAACTGTGGCATAATATCATACCCTGTCAGCGACTAAACTAATATTCATAATTGATCAACTGCTTAAAATGTCCTTTCCGTCTCTCCCTGCCGATCCTTTCACGAGATCAAAAAGCGAGTCAGTTACTGAGCACTCTCTTGGCAGCTCATTTTCCAAATATCGAACCTGATATGTACGGCTGCAAACTAATTTAATTTCTTCACCCTATATCGCCCAACTACGCTTAAGCGTCCACGTAGCGAATGGCAACAAACAAAAAGGAAAAAAAAAAAGAAAAAGAAAAAAGTGTCGACATAGTGGCCTGAAGTTATATTTGATCCTACATGTAAGTCATCAATCTACCTTTTTTTTTCCTCAAAACATTCTTACTGATTGCAAAGGAGTTATACTGGGAGATAATTTTAATTATCCAACGCATATCACTAAAAAATGATATTTTATGAAGACTAATACATATTTATGATAAATAATCAACTTAAATAGTTTTTTAAATTATTTTTTTCCTTGAAATTTTTAAATTAGTTATTTTGCTATTATGTTAAGTATTAAATGTAGTATTGTGAACATCAAATAATTTTGCTTCCTCAACAGTAATGTTATTATTGAGGAAATAAAATTCCTGTTTTTGTTTTTGTTTTTTCAGCCCCCGGGGGGGTTTTACAAGATATTTGTCGTTGAATTTGGCATCAGGTGTTCACACAGGGGTCTGGATTTTTGGGCGGCAGCGACCCACCCTTTACACATGGATCACGCCCTGCTGATAATAATGGGTTAAGCGATTTGATGTTTTTATATTTAATTATGTGTGCGCTCTTCCTAATCCTAAATATTACTCATATTTAATATAAGATATATTTAACTAATTTGATTAGATTAAAAAAGTTAGGTAAGTTAGTTAATTATAAGAAATATGACATGTTTTTCCTCAAACACTATAATCATCTTTCTTAATATCCTCCCTCTCTCACTTACTTGATTATAGTTAAAAGAGTATCTATGGGGATAATTTAGAAAAAAAATTGGCTTAATTTTGACTTAATTTTTAAGATTAGGAAGGGCGTACACATAATTTTAAACATCGCCCTCATTTCATCAAATTTCTTATATTGCATTTTTATTTCTCATGCTATTCTCATTTGTTCAGGCACTTTTATTTTCGTGCATTAACTTTTTGTTATTAAATAGCAGTATTATTTCTGAAAAAGTGTTACAACTGATCTACGCATTAATTATTATCCTTGGAATCTCATAATAACTCTCCCAAAAAATATTAACAAAAATGTAATTACCATTTACTTATAATAAGCACCGTTTATTATAATTTTTTTTAATAATAAGCACCACATATATATTTTTTCTGAGATGCACAGCATAAGGATGGGAGGAGTATCTGACGCGGATAGGAGTCGGTTTGTGATCATGATAAGCGATTTGTGAGATTGAAAATGGCCACGTTTCGAATGGCACTTATATATATATATATATATATATATATATATATATATATATTGTGTTGATAAATTGTTCAGGCCACAGAAATTTAAAATAAAAGAAAACTTGATTTCGACATTGGACCGCTAATTTACACCCAGAAATGCGTACTGGACCATCTTAACTGGTGCATGAATTAAATTAAAGTAAACTTCATTATTGGAATCAGATTCTTTTGATTCAACATCGACCTCTCATTCTCATCCAACGACTAATTCCAACTCACATTAAAAATCGACATCATTCAATTAACAGCACGCCACGAATTTTATTTAATTACAAAAAATTGTCACCTTCGTTAATTACTTGTTTGAAAGCCCCCATTCGAAATACGTAACTGAATGATTGATGACCCACCACATGGTCAGAGCATCGACTCAGATCAAATAAAACAATCAAAGTACTGTATTATCTAGATCTCTCTGTTAAAATAATAAAATTAAACACGATTATTCAAGTGAGACGAGCTTCATAATGAATAAACTAGTTATAATTATAATACTAATTATAATACTACCTCCGGTCCTAATTATAAGAGTCAGTTGACTAATTTGAGGAGATTAAGGAAATAAGTTGAGTTAGTTATTTGTCCTAAATAGGTGTTGTATTTCCTAAAATATCCTTGCTAATCAAGTGTCTTGATTAGAACTATCATTGTTAGAAACTTAGAATGACTACTTTGGAAAAAAAAAGGGATAAATACGAGAAACAAAGTGGATTGGGGTCTTATATTTATGACCAAAATAAAAGTCAAACATGGTCTTATATTAAGGACCGGAGGTAGTAGTAATTTGTTAGGAGGGGGAATTAAAGGGAAGCTTTCTCCTCATAATAATGGATCATTAATTAATAATGCCCAATAACATGACAACTAAACTAAATTCAGGAGCTTGAACAACGCTCAATGATTGTTGCCTGGCGCAATACTAAATTAATGTTGAAGGCCTGGTCGCAAATAATTTAATCGGAGCTTTAAATAAATATGTCACGGATTATTTTATGACTCAATCCGTACTTATCAATATCTTAACGTGAAGTTCACGCTTTGCTCAATAGTCACATATGGTAAGCGGACTCGGTGAGCCTAAATATGCGAGTAATATAAATGCACACATATATCACGTGAGTAATTACTTAATAGGCGTTTCATTGGATGCAGGATATGAAAAGTTGGAAGGAATTTTTTGGATCGGGAGATTGATTTTCATGCATTACAATTACTAACATCTTATTCTCTTTCAATATTTTTAATCAATCAATTAATTTCTTCTATTAGCTGTATATACAGGAAATATATTGAAATATCATTATGAAGGATATCTTTTCTTCTTGCCCTTATTTTCTCAGATAAACGCTGAAATTATTTTTTTCCTGATTTATTTTATTGTTACTCTTTTTTTTTCTTTTCTGTCTTTAGTTTTATTGTTACTCTTTGTAAAGAAATATATTGGATTTTTGCCCCGACAATGTACCGGAGTTTCTCTGTCCGAGGAAATGCAAAAGCGGTGTTCATTTTAGCGATGGGCCCCACCAGGTGCTCGTCGTGTTCCTATTGGTCAGAAGTCTTCCCGAATTCCAGATCCGCAATGTGATTTGATCGGAACGCAGGCAAGGCTCCAGAACGCATGGGCCTGCATGCACTTCCGAGTTTAATTTAATTTAGTTCGTATACTCATAATAACACCAAATTTACCAGGTATATTAGTTTAAAATTGCAGGCTACGATCTGGTTACATTATAAATTAGATTCGAGATATAGAAGGGATCTGATAGGTGGATGCGCTAAATCGAAAATTATATATTTAAAACACGAGGCTATGTTGTGTATGTGTCCTGTCCGAAACAATGTCTGAAATAACATCCAAATCGGACACGATACAAACACTCAAACAGCGTCTCCTGCACGTTAGAGAGTTTTTTTTTTTTGGTGGGGGAATGACATTTATTCCGCCACGTCACCTGTGTCTGTTAGGTTGATAGATTCAAATCTGTTAGATTGTTCCTAATGAGCAAAACAGGAATCAGAGAGGGCAGGTGTGCTCACAGTGGACACAAGTCCTTTATGCCAAACAATGCAGAGTGAGAATATTTCTACATGGAGACTGGTAGCTAGAGAGAATTTAACGCACAAAATCTGACGGCAAAAAAGGAATTTTTTTTTTTAAGGCACATATATGCTGACAGGGATTTAAACCTTAATTTGTCATGAAAAATTAGCCTCTTTTATTGGATCCAATCCTGTCAGTAGCCAAAAAAAGAAGAAGGGGGAATTAAAGACGCCGATGCAGCATGATTAACGCTTCAACGATGTCGCAACCGATGAGCCTCCCGACTCTTGTGAGTGACTTGGACGGCGGACTTTGCACCCCTTTTCCCGTACAGCCCAATTCTACCCGTCGGATGACCCACAAGCCCAAGCCCACTATCATTCGGGCCTCTGGCCCACTTGCAGCTGGAAAGCTCTGAATACCCACATGCACCGTACTTAAGGTTTAAACTTTAAACCCTTTTTAGGGTTCCGACCATGCAAGTGTGAATCTGCTGATTGTTTGATTTTCCATAGCTATATATCGATCTGTATGCTATCCGTGTCTTGTGAACATCCTTCTGCCACTTATAATGTCTGTCTGTGTGTGTGTGTCTTGTTAGCTCTGATTTTTCATCCAAACATTTTTGTAGCAATCCCTTAAAATATCTTCTCATTATGAAATCGAACTGTATCTTTAACCCCTGATCCTTAAGCATGCCGACTATTCCATGCAAACTTTTTTTTTTTTGATAAAACGGAAAGAGCTATTCCATGTAAACTACTGCTTCTTGTTTAATTTTCCTCCGTCCTATTCAATATTCATATTTTGTCCATCACACTCTCCAATTATCATCCTTGCTAGCAACCTATTCGATAATAGTTAATTGTAGAAGGAATTTCGCTTGAGTAAGGTCAGAGGTTGAAATAATTTGGTCAAATAATTGAATTAAAAAAAAAAAAACAAGACCGCTTAAAGTACTGTGACTCCTCCAGTCCTAAATATAAGACCCTTATACACATGTGCATAAAGGTCTTATATTTAGGACCGGAAGAGTATATAATATCCTCATATATCTTACTCATAGATGAAAACGATGGTAAAAGAAGTCTTCTGATCACAAGGGTTTTACGTAAGTGGAAATCGCCTCTTTTTCTCGACACTTCTGTTGAAATATACGTTAGAGAAAATCCGTTGTTAAAGTGATCTGAATCAGTTGCCGAAATATATAATCTTTTAACCATCCTTATACTTTAGGTCTTCATTTATAGGACAGAAAAACAAGAATCAATATATTTCACTGAACACGACTTCTGCAATATGGCCCTCTTAACTCTCTCATTGTCATAGCAAGTCATCTTACACATCGTACCATTGCCAACAGGTCTGGGCAAATATTTTAACGCCACAACCCACTTATGATCCTAAGAATTATCTTCTCTCACTTAATCCTATGCTAAAATTAATAGCTGACACAGGTTTGTCCTCTCTCACAGATTTGGAATGATAAACTTGTGCTTGAAGAAAGCAAAGGCTTCCCCGTGAATTTACTTTCTTCCGCAGATTTCTAGATAATCTGCAGATGCCTGCGTCCTAGAAGATTCTTGCTTTTTCAGCATGGCTTTTAATATCATAACCTGCACAGAACCCATGAGATTAAAAATGAACACTAATTTATCTAAACAATAAAATTAATGAACGAGATGTCATGCCTCTTCTTGAAGCTTCTGTCTTTCCTTGTAGATGGCATCAAAATCCTGTTTGAGAGCATCATACAAGTGCTCAAGCTGCTTTGCCTTCCACCTAGCCCTCCTGTTTTGGAACCAAACCGCAACTTGGCGAGGCTGAAGCCCTAACTCCTTCGAAAGCTTCATCTTCCTATCTGCGTCCAATTTCCTCTCCTTCTCGAAACTCTTCTCCAATGACTCAAGCTGCTTGCTCGTTAATCGCTTCTTCTTCTTCTGTTCTTGCTTTCCGTAGTTGACTCTGTCCATTCCCGGAGCCAACCCTTGTCTCTCACTCTCTCTCATTGCTGGATGTCTCACTTCCATTCCTGAATACGCAAGAGGTATATATTAAGTTAATTGCTCAGTGAAGAATGAGATCTTCAAGATAAGACAACAGTGCTTCTTATATTTAAAATGTTGGATATCATTGTATCGAGCTGGAACGCCAAATGTGGCTTTCAAACGTTACGTAAGAAGAATTCCTATTTTGTGACAGGCAGAAAAGAAGTAGGACTAGTAGTGAAAAAGGAAATGCAAAATCGAGTATTGAACTTAAAGGTCAATGTTTTAGAAGCAAGAGACTAGTGCCTCACCTGGATATGGTGTGTAGTTAAAGTTACAGAGGAAGCCAAAGGAGGACTCCGCTTGAGGAACAGAAGGTCTTATGCTCCAATCCCAATCCATATCTGGCTTCACTTCCCCGTCTCTTCCTTCTGTTCCAACCCCAAAATTTATAGCCAAGAGTGTTGTGAGATTTGAGGGTCTTGTCTCCAATTCAAATTTCAATGCAGAGACCGTATTAGGGAAAAGCAGTGAAGTCGTGGCATGAGGAGAAGGCAGGCTGTCAGTTGGCCCTAAGAGCAACCGTCGTGATTATGGTTACATTCGTAAAACAGGTAAAGTGTGTCCAAGAAATGAAAGACTTGTGCTCCAATAGAGAGAACCAATAATAGAAGGAAAGGCAAAGAGAACTTATAGGTAATTTCTGTGATTTCACCTCAGTTAACTACGAGAGGTGTCAGTGTCTCAGATATGAAAGCCGATATGCCCTCATTTTCACCTCTGCTTCTGTCTCCTTATCAGTGCATGAAATTGGGATCTGGCTTTGCTTTTTTGAGCAAAATACGATCGAATTACTAGTTGAAAGTTAGTCTCCTGTTTCAAGAATCCGAGTTACTAGATATTAACCTTGTGGGGTGTGAAACCGTGAGGCGTGAGGGAAGGCTTTAAAGTTGAAACGTCAGAGTAGAGGGGTGAAGACGAAGGACATCAACCAAGACTGTTACAGACGTGTTGAGAGTTTTCCTCAATGTGAGTGTGTCTGCCATTCAATAAATGAGCTGAGAGAATACAAGAATAGGAGAATAAATTCCAAATCCTATATTGCAGGAAAATGTCGGACACACACACACACACACATCTCTACATGTAGTGTGCGTAGCGTAAACAAGACAAAAATTTCAAACAACACACACACACCCCTCTACATGTAGTGTGCGTAGCGTAAACAAGACAAAAATTTCAAACAACCCATTAAAATACATCAGTTTTGGCAACAGGTATTATTAATCTTTTAACATAACATATATTTGTTTAGAAGTACTCCTCTGGTTCTATTTATAGAGCAGAGAAAGAAAATATTTTTTAGTCCTATTTATAGGGTACTGAGAGAAAGTTTTTGTATAGATGTATAATTTTACCCCTCATTTATTATTGTGTTAACTTTGTTTTTATGAGGTATAATGTATATTAAATAGGAATAAAGTTGGAAAGTCATTAAATTTTAAATGAGAGTTGATGAAATTTAAAGTTTTCCTTAGTCTGTGTAAAACATATTGAAACTACCTTATACATAGGACAAGAAGAGTAAATGTTTATATGTTCCAATAAAATTAGAAGGCAAGTCTCAGAAAGAGTAAAGTATTGAACAGCTGGAAAGCAAGAAAGGGTAGCTGTGAGTTGTGATAAGATGGGCATGGCCATAAATCTAAAGCAAGGAAGTGAGACATGGGTGGCATATATTTACGTCACTGACTGGCACTTACATCAGGATGGTCCAGAAATGATTATTAGTAAATATGAAACGTTGAAATCAACACCGTATAATGTTTGTAACTTGAGGATGGAATTTGTGAAATCCAATAACTACAAAATACTATGAACAGGCAGCTCAAAAAAGCAAGTCTGCCAAGGAAACAAGTGACCATACGCACAGGCTACCACCTCCTATTCCTATCATCGTGCCCCCAGGGTTCTACTGACACGATTTCTTCAGCAGCCGTTAAATTATAACAAACACCCAGAATTCAGAGAGGAGCAGAACGGAAGCGAAGTGAATTAAATCCGTACATCAAGGGATAGAGCTACGGCGGCAGTCAAACTACAGCTGACAAACGAATTCAATTATCGAATCGAATCCGGGTTTCGTCATGAAACCTGAAGCCAGACATCGCTTGTGTTTTATTTTGGACAACCGGCTGCATCCTTTCAAAATCTAAAACACAAGTACGTGTATTTGTTAGAGCATGACAAATACAAACCCCTCCACAACTAAAAGCTTTGGAACATTGATATGACGGACGTTATGTACGACAAGGGCAGACAAAATTGCCTTATCATAATCAAGTTTCCAAAACCGAGTGTAAATAAACTATAAGCGGCAGAAAAACGTCCGAGTAAAATTCTATTCCTGTATCACAACCAAGTTACAAAACAGATTACATAGAGGGCAACTGGAGCAAGCAAAGATAATGACCGCAATTCCAGCCCCCCTCTCCCCCCCTTTTTTGTTTTCCTTTTTTCATCTGACATATGTATGGAGTATGGACAATAGAAACAACTACAAAAACAAATCATTATTACATGACCAAAGAGGAGATATACCAACTGCCAAAAAAACCCCGCAACAGATGACATCCTCCTCAGTCCTCATTCTTAATTTTCCTCAGAAGTATATGCTGTATAGTGGATTCCAAGAGAGCATTCTGAGATGTCTGACCACACTAAAAAAAACCAAAAACTCCCTACTCTGCTTGTGGCTACTTCAAAACACCTCTTGTCTTCCGCCCTTTCAAATCACTAGGTATAATGAATACAGAATCTACACAAAGCCCACCTTTGGAATGTGTGCAATCAATTTGTTTCATAGAGAATCTAACTTCTGTTATACGTTGCGATCCACTGACAATAAATTCACCTACCTTGTAATTAACCCAGTTTCCACGCTTATGATTACCATATGCATCGTCGCGCTCAGTTTCATCCAAACTGTACTCGAATGATGCTTGCTGATCATCTGAAGTAGACAGCTCAAATCTTACTGGTTTTATATCCCAACCATGCGTGTGTTCATAATTGCACACGCGCCGCCCAAGCCTTTTGGAAAATCGTCCAAGGTGGAGCCTAAAGAAGAGAGTGTAAGTATCAGCAGCAAAAGGAAATTTCACCTCTCCATCAACTTCAAACCACCAAATTTGTTGCAAATAAGCCACAGTGTGGAACCTGAAGATAAAAAGTAACAGCATGTAAAACAATATCTCTAAGAAAGTAGAAACAATAGGCAGTAAAAAAGGTAGAAATAAGGAAGTAACATGATGCTGACATAATACAACAGGGGGAAATTAAATAAAGTTGCTTCAGCACCTAGATTATTTAGCAATCCTACAATTTGAAAAAAAAAAAAAAAACAGCAAAAATATCATGTAAACAGAAAGTTCAATAATTCGTTAAAGTATATCGTGTGAAGTGGAGCTCAGGGGTACATAAACTAATCTAATACGCAAGTACATTGGCTTTGATTCATAGAGTAGATGGTTTTGTTTAACATGATTGAGAATTTCATGAATCAGTTCAATTTATGACCACAAAATCAGGTCAACATATTAGAACTACATCAAATAGAATATATCTTCCTACAAAAATCATTTGAAATTATGAAAAACTGACATAGAATTGAATTAGCAAAAATAAAAAGCAAAATAGTTGACACTCATCCAAATCAAGATGTCCAAGGTTAAGCAGAGAAGGATGCTTGTCTGCGTTAGATCGTGACAATGACGTGTATCTTCTCTTTTGATTTTGAGCAATAAAGCAGCTTTAATATTTTCAAGAATAGAATTGGCCAATATATATATATATATATATATATATATATATGGGGATATCAGCAAGAATAATTTTGACGAAAATAAAAAAATGTTCACACGAGACAATTACGAAGTTGAAGGATTGCAACATAGTCTCACTAATTCCAATGAGCTTTACATTAACCGGGGGCCAAATCTAAGAGCACAAAGTGAAAAAGGGAAGATCATAGCGAACTGTTCCAAGAGGATGCAAGCCTAATTCAATTGAGTAGTTCTATGCATCGCTCAATGTCATTTTGGTACATTCGATCTCAAATTTGAGCCACGGCAACACCCCAGCAAGTTAACACTCCCAAAGTTAAGAGCCTAAAACTATTTCAGTACTTTGCATTTTCTAAAGGGATTTTTGAGCTTGCTAGGCCATTAAACATAAGAAAATTTAGTGCCAACATCAGTAACAAACAAAAATAATTTGATTTTGGAACCTAATTAATTCGAAACCATGGACTTGTATAAAGCAAATAAAGCATACAAAGAGACCCAGTCAAGCCACAGTAGGAGAGTTACAAGCAGCTAAAAGCAATTCGCAATGAATAGAATCAACTTTTCCAGAGTGAGCTGCAAGTCTAGTTAGTTATATCCAGATCCCAGTAGTATTAGACAACCTCTTCCATTTAATTCAACTAATCCACTGTTCTCTTACAGCCCTGCTAATCGAGGAGTACGTTGGAAAGCAAAAATAATAATCTTAAGCCTTCACTTTTGTAAAAGAACAAGATCCATACATTTTCGTGCACATTCACCGATCGCCTGTTGCGAACCTACATATTCGCCCTATTCTAACCTCAAAATCCGGTGTTCTAACCTACAATTCAAGTTCAGCATTCCAAAACTCTACCCAGGTCACCTGCAGTCCTGCACAACATCTTTGATGAAGAAGCATGCAAAAAGATCAAGCAACAAAAGAAGCACACAATTTGCTACTGAGGCAAATCACTTTTAGAATCAATGGCGAAATGTAGATTTAAAGAATCGAAGATAGATACAAGAAAACTCTCTATGAGTTCATCGTTCGCGATTATATCATATCCATCCGAAGAATGTGATCAAGCACCAAGACTGACAGATTTCTGAAGTCTAACCTAGATTCCTCAGTAGAAATCCAATTCCAGTATCTCCTGTCATCAATTCCAGTAATCGCCATGGCTTTTGCCGATATGGACATACAAACCCTGCCCGTGACCCTGTCCAGCCATACTTCCTGTAAAACTCGAGCATTATTTTAACAGAATACGCAGTACAAAGATTAAATGTTACAAATTCAGACTCCTAATCTATCCAAACTCGGTAGAAAAGTACCCCAAATTCCCAAACAAATGCATTCCGAGAACTGCGCAAACCCGACATACCGTTTCTAGAAACAGAGTTCCGGGAGAACCCTAACCCCAAATCATCAGAAGGAAAGTGCAGAGCTATAATCAATAAAAACTAACCTGAAGAACACCCACCTTATTGCCATCATCAAATGGTATTGGTCGAGATAGCAGCGCAAATATATCCTTCTTGGACAAATTCTGGTACCTTTCCGGAGGCATTAGATCGAGCAGATCTTGGTAATTGGGGGGCAACTTTGTTTCCCATACTGAATCAGAGGACGCCGCGCCACGGAAAGCTCGATTGAGCCGCGCTAAATTGCATATTTCCGGCGGAGTCAAATATAAGAAAACGCAAGCCACGCAGTTCTCCGGGATGTCGCCGAGACCCGGACCAATGGTCGAGCCGTTCGTTCCCAGGCTGGATAAAGAGGCCCCCATGCTCTTTAAGGTCCTCAAAATTACAGAGACTCGATCTATTCTTCAGGTCATGCTGCAGCAACAGTGCCCGAGCAAGGTTAACCGACAAGAAGAATGACAAATAAGAACAGAAAGTACGGAAAAGGGATTAAGAATTATTCAAACAAGGAGTGGAAATGATTCCGAGCAATGGGTGAGTTCAAGAAATATAAAATCGAGTAACAGTTTCCTTGCATGAGCCTTGGCGATTTCTTGAAAGATCTTCCGGGAAAATAGTAGGAAGGTGTGAGGCGAGGGATTTTGCAAGCTGTGGCGGAAGCAGGGGTGGGGCTGGGCGAGGGACAAGAATTTAGTGCTAACGCAAATCATTAATGCTTTACTTGACAAGTAATCAAAGCCGTTCCTTCCGTTGATTTTTTTATACAACAGGTGATTTTAAATGTTTGATCTGTTTTCATCTTTGTGATTTTTTTTTCCCCGACCTTTATCCTTTACTAAAAAAATATTTGTCACGAATCTAACCAAGATAAGATTTTTTTTTCTACCGCGTTATCTCTGACCTACTGCTTAAATTTATAATCATATACACACGCATACATAGTTGCATGCTTGTAGACACGAGTATCACAGAAACACATAAATATATGTGGGTGAGTGCGTGCGTGCGTGCGGTATTATCACGCACAGATGAACAGGAATAGAATAGAGACACCGATTGCGTTACGTTCGAAGTAAAAGCGAAAAAACATAAAAAATTGCAGTTTCAAAAAACTACAGGAAAAAAGGAAATCTGCCCATACTTTTGAATTTTGTGGGTCTTGAAATTTCCAATTGCCATAAATCTCCTAGAAGCTAGAACTGACGCTGCTGCCGTGCCCATTATTTCTGAAATTAGAAGTCATATTTTTGATGATCCTTTAAATAATGGATATCTTTGAGGGAATATTTTTACGTTGAGCCTAGCTGTGAGCTGGTATTTATTTTTGAACGTTGTTTTTAAATTGTAGGACAAGCAATAAATCACATCACTATAAAAAAAATATAATTAACATGAACAAATTCTTGTTATATTTTCAAATTTATCGTCAGTTGATTTTATAATCAATAGAAAGAAAATAAAGGAATAAGTGGTGCATTGAAATTATAAATAAAATTAATGTACAAATTTGATTTAGGAATTTTTCTTCATGAACATTGTTGCTCCAAAAATTTGTTTGGTTTCGAGGTTACTGTGAAAATGTTAAAATTAAAAATGTTAATAGTTAATGTTAATTTTTTAAGGGGAAATCACAAATAAAGACCCTCGAATTAGCAAAATCACTCTATGGTCACCTGAATATGCTAAATTACTATGAGGGACCTGGTCTCAAATTGTAATTATGAAATCATGGCCAAATTACCAAAATATCCCTCTTTAATTTTTTTTTTTTTAAAAGAAAGCCACTGCCTCACCGGAATCCGGCCACCGGCGCCGGAGCTCCGGCGGCCGCTTCCGGCCACTGTCGGCGGCCGGACACCGGGGTCCGACCGTCGGAGCTCCGGCACCGGCTGCCGCTTCCGGCGATCTTCCTTTGTTTTTTTTTTTGAAACTGTTTTTTTTTTAAATTGGGGGGAAGTGAGGTTGGGGGGATTTGATCCCCCAACCTAATGCTTCCTAAAATAAGGAATGACCATTGAGCCAACAAATTTTTATTAACATTATGATGCAAAAAAAAAATATAAGTTAACTCATTTACTCTTGTTCCAGGTGATAACAACAATACATTTAGAAATAACAAGTTCTGATTGTAAAATAACACGTCTGGAATAAAAATTTAACAATATGTTTTTTTATAACAATAAATTTTGTTGCAGGTAATAACAACAATACATTTAAAAATAACAAGTTCTGATTATAAAATAACAAGTTTGGGATTACAATTTAATAACACGTTTTTTTTATAACAATACACTTTGTTTCAAGTGATAACAACAATGCATTTAAAAATAACAAGTTTTGATTATAAGATAATAAGTCTAGGATTAAAATTTAACAACACGTTTTTTTATAACAATTAATTATTTTATACTTTTAAAAAATAAATTATTTATAACTTATAAAAAATATTTTTAATATATTTATTTCTCTAAAAAATACTTTTTAATCTGTATATCTATACAACTCATTATAAATCAAACTACTTCTTATAAATTATAAAGTATTTATAATAAGGCATTTTTGATTTATTAATCATAGTATAAATTTTATATTATTTCATTCTTTAAATATTAAAAATAGTTTTTATATTTAAAGAATAAAATAGTATTTTTAATTATAAATTAGAGATAAATTTCATTTATAAATTTAAGCAGTCAAAAAGTATTTTTAATCCACAATAAATTGTATTATTTATAATTTATAAGAAGTAGTTTGATTTATAATAAGTTGTATAGATATATAGATTAAAAAATTTTAAAAAAAAATTAAAAAAGTGTGTTGCCATTTTCCCTAAATTTTATTTATAAATTTGAACAATAAAAAAGTATTTTTGATCTATAAAAAATTATACTTCAAGTTCTGATTATAAATTGGAGATAAAAATTATTTTTTTAGCAAATTAAATAGATTACAAATACTTTTTATAAGTTATAAATAATTTATTTTCCAAAAGTATAAAATAATTAATTGTTATAAAAAAAAGGTGCTGTTGAATTTTAATTCCAGACTTGTTATTTTATAATCAGAACTTGTTATTTTCAAATGTATTGTTGTTATCACTTGAAACAAAGTGTGTTGTTATAAAAAAACATGTTAAATTTTAATCCCAGACTTATTATCTTATAATCAGAACTTGTTATTTTTAAATGTATTGTTGTTATCACTTGAAATAAAGTGTGTTGTTATAAAAAAAAAACGTGTTTTTAAATTTTAATACCAAACTTGTTATTTTTAAATGTATTGTTGTTATTGCCTGCAACAAAATTTATTGTTATAAAAAAAACATATTGTTAAATTTTTATTCCAGACGTGTTATTTTACAATCAGAACTTGTTATTTCCAAATGTATTGTTGTTATCACCTGGAACAAGAGTAAATGAGTTAACTTATATTTTTTTTTGCATCATAATGTTAACAAAAATTTGTTGGTTCAATGGTCATTCCTTATTTTGGGAAGCATTAGGTTGGGGGATTTGATCCCCCCAACCTCACTTCCCCCCAATTTAAAAAAAAAAAACAGTTTCAAAAAAAAAAACAAAGGAAGACTGCCGGAAGCGGCCGCCGGCGCCGGAGCTCCGGTGTCCTGCCGCCGACAGTGGCCGGAAGCGGCCGCCGGAGCTCCGGCGCCGGTGGCCGGATTCCGGTGAGGTAGTGGCTTTCTTTTTAAAAAAAAAAAAAATTAAATAGGGGTATTTTGATAATTTGGCCATGATTTCATAATTACAATTTGGGATCGGGTCCCTCATAGTAATTTAGCATATTCAGGTGACCATAGAGTGATTTTGCTAATTCGAGAGTCTTTATTTGTGATTTTTTCATTTTTTAACGAGATGAAATAAGGTTGTTACATTTGGAAACTTTTGGGAGACATTAAATTCAAAAGAAATTTCAGGAAGATACTACTCTAAAGTGAAAACTTTCAAGACATTAGGTCTTATAAATAAAAGTATAAATTACCTGACGTACTGAAAATTGAATGGGTTTTTGAATCAATTAAGATAGTAGAGTCAGATTGAAATCAATTCGATAATCAAATCGGTTAGGAATAAAAAAAATTTTAAATTAATTTAAAATTTTATCTTATCACCCAAAAGACTAAATATCAATTTAATACCTTAAATCAAATAATCAAATACTCACATTTTCTTTTCAACTTTTCTTATAATTTCCTTAATAGATTAACATGTTATGTTATAAAACTTGTTAAATATTCATTCTAACAAAATATTAAAATAGATTTATGGTAGTAAAATATTTATACTTACAGTCTTTCCCTAAGCTAATAATTATCCGTAACTTAAAAAAAAAAGGAAAATGAAGTAATTTTTTGACATTAAAATAACTTTTTTTTATTTAAAAAAACAACAATAACTTAGCTAACCCACCAAACCTGTCGGATTACAGCGGGTCACTCCACACTGGTTCTTACCATACATTGAACCAGCTAGGCGAACAATTGATTAGATTTTCAGTTCAACCTGTTTGGTCCAGTTTTAATTCAATAAAATTACTTCATCCCACTGAATTAATTGCTGGTCTAAAATTTTAGTTTTATTTCAAAATAATAATCACTTCAGACTTTTTTTTAAATAAAATATGGATTTTTTTGACAACTTTATCGTTTAAAAAGGGCAGGACAGACGATTTTATTTACATTAAGAAAAAGGAAACAATGGGACAGGACAGACATGTGGAAAATGCCCGTGTCTGACTCATAAGCTACCGCGCTGCATCAAAACTCAAAAGGATTGGTTTAGTTTGACTTAGGGAACCGGGCCCATATAAATCGTGTGTCGTCAATGCTTCATGATTTTGTTCTGGGGCCTCAGATTTTTTTTTTGGCGACCTCCATTTTTTTTTAATGAACAGAAATATTTTACAATGTATTAAATATTTTGCTTGCAAGCTGGTCCCAAAAAAAAAATTTTTTTTTGCTTGCAAATTACTCCCTCCATTCCTTGTTATAAAAAAGCCACTTAGGGTATAAGGCATTTTTTTTATAAGAGATATTTAGAAGTTGTTTCAAATTTTATTTGTTAATTTTTTTTATTTTATCCAGATTTAATTACTCGTATTATTGTATTTGATTTTTACATATTTTCTATACATCACACGTTCCTTCCCTTCCTCATAAATGAGAGTTTGGTTAAATGGTTAGATTCTTCTTTATATATTTATTATCTTAAAAAAATCGATGGAGTATTATTTTAAAAAAGTTTGCCGGGCATAGCTTCGTTGATTAATAAAATCTTAAAGAAAAAAAATATCATGTGAACCCTTAAACTCCTGATCTTTTCATTGATATCTCATGCACAGATCATGAGGGCGACCTTTTTGCCTTTTTCTTTCTGTTCTGAACTGTATATTTCAAAAAAAAAAAAATGCTAGTATTGACTCTTGAAAACATACATAATCCACGTGAATTATATTCAATTGTTCGGAAGAAAAGTTTGTGAGCAATAAATCAGCGTCAATACAGTACAATAATTTTATAAAAAAAGCTACAAAAGGATTTAGTATTTATCAATCGTATGGCACACATGTTAGTTTTTTTATTTTTTATATTGAGAACATAATGAATTTTATAGCATTATGGGAGAATCATTGAACAAAAAACCAAACAAATGTCAAGCTTCGTGTAAAACAAACATGCGCGCAAGATGTATATTTAATATAAAGGGAAAATTACACATAATCTCAC